GTAATGAAATATAAAGCAATAGAAGTGTGCCTAATTTGTCACTGTGGTTAATTAATTAAAGCACTATACCATGAGGACCTATGGGCGAGTGCATTATAGAATGGGCATGTAACCACCGCCATAGCCTAAAAGCTGTAATTTCGGCCGAAGGTAAAACTATCCATGTAACAAGCCGTGGAGGTCCATAGGGCTGTGAGACGTCGAGGCTCCCACATTTTCTAGACAATCTGCTCGCAGATGGCGGTGAAGTTTCAGCCTTTAGCCCACAGGAAGATTCCTGGTACTCATTTCTGTTAGAGGCTGAGTCGACCTCAGGGCCATAGTGCGGCTGGAGGGATTAGGTCAATTGAAAAATTCAATAACCTCATTGGGAATCAAACGCGCGACATTCCGGCTGGTGGATTGTGACAATTTTATGTAAACGAAAGAGAAAATGATGATAATGTTGATCATCAAAACTTCATTACTGCTGCACAAAGCTGTGAGCATTGGCTTGTCACACTGACCCACTTCATCCTCACTTGAGTGGGTCAGATTTCTCGCCTCCGAGTCTCAGCAAACTGCAGGCTACAGTCAGGTGGAGCAAGAGGAAGTGGTGCACCGCTGAAGCTGCAAATTTCGTGTCTGCCGCGTGACGGAATGACTTGACATGTATCAACACTCCCAGAGTCGGTATAGTGACGGGCTGGAGGACCCGGGTTCGATTCCCGGCAGAATCAAGATTTGTCTGTTCTCCACGGCGTCTAGACCGACTCCAGGGCCCATTCAGCCTCCTATGCAACTGGTCCCGAGAGTTTTTATCCTCGGAGGTAAAGCGACAGGGGCGTGAAGCTGACCACTCACCTCCATTCAGTGCTGAGGTCAAGAATGTTCGAGCTTCACTCATCCATATGGCTTCATGGCGTAATGCTTAATCCATCAGGCACAGAGACAACTTTATTTTTTTTACCTTTATCAGGCTCATCTGTTTATAGATGGCAGCACGAGGTTCGAGGTTCCCTCCCTGCAAGGCATCTGTTACTTCGTAAACAAAATTCCTAAATTTATTTAAAAAAGGAAAAAAATTAACTCTATAAAATATTAATAGTCTACTCTTAGAGTTAGGAGCCGGAATAGCTCAATCGACATAGCGACTGGCTACGGGCTGGACGATCGAGGTGTCGGAGTTCGAGTCCCTGTAGGATCAAGAATGTTCTCTTCTCCATGTTGTCCAAACCGGTTCTGGGGCCCACCCAGCGTCCTATCCAATGGGTAGCGGGGGTGAAGCGACCACTCACTTCCAGCTAGTGCCGAGGTCAAGGAAATGTGGATCTATACATTCCCCCCCCCCATACACATTCATGGTGAAGTGCTTAATTAGTTAAGCACAGAGACAACTTCACCTTTTTCACCTCAACTCTTAGACGTAAGAGACATGCACAAAAATCGCGAGGTGACCGCTATGATGGAATAAGACGTTTCTAAGAATGTGCTGCCGAGGGCCGGATGGGCATTGCCTAGGCCTTTTTGCACGTATTTACACAATTATTTCTTTCGAAATAAAAATAAATAGTACTAGAGAATGTAAGGTTTGAGGCTTTCACGGCGATGACTATGAAGAAAGCAGTCTTCTGGGATTTGGCACCGTGTATATGTGGTGTTAACCGACGTTTCGGAGGAACGTATCGCCTCCATCTTCAGGGTAGAAGGAAAAATATAAGAAGTCCGCAAGCGAAGAGACCGTGAAGATGGAGGCGATACGTTCCTCCAAAACGTCGGTTAACACCACATATACACGGTGTCAAATCCCAGAAGACTGCTTTCTTCACAGTACTAGAGAAGACCCACATACCCTTCTATGTGAAAACAAAGGGGAAAGATGCACGATCTGAGGCTCACTTAGCGGTGACGATGAAGCGTATTGTCGTCTGTGATGTGACACCGTGCAGTCTTGTAGAAGTACAGCGGGCGTTTGGGGGGCACTTGCTGCGTCCCGTTTTCATGGGGCGAGAGAGTTAGCCCAGTCAGTAAACTTCTACCAGACTGCACGGCGTAACATCCCAGAAGACGGAATGTTTCCTGAGGAAAGATACACATGTATCGGTCGAGCACTCCTACCTTTATACGCTTTCTAGGCCCCATCTTAGTAAAAACAATCGCACGAGGGAAAGTACAAGCATTCTCTCATTATGCTCTGTAACCCGCCTGGAAAAGGAAAAGAAACACACGCACAGTTCTGCTCCTTATTTCGATTTTACCGTTTCCACCTCTTCCAGAGCACTGACATAGCAAGCTGAGTCAAGCGGTACGCTTCTGACATGCATTCGAGAAGTACCTGGTTCGAAACTCAGGCGGGACTATCCTAACTCAGACTTTTCCTGAGTTGAGGAAAATCCCAGGATAGAACTTCCGTCAAGCCTTGACCGATTCATTTCAAATTCTTTCCCAATTATTATTCACTTGTCATGCAACCATTCGACTCCATTATGCCCTGACAGAGCGTCGTCAAATGAAACACAATATATTGTAACGTGACGGCTGAAAACCGTAGAACCAGAACTAGACGCCCGTTGCTGAGCAACGGACGCAAATCACGTTCCAGTTACAATGTACAGCAGCGAACGAGTCATTAAGTTGTAAACAGTAAGAAAACCAAACGGCTGCTTGGGAAGGAATACATGCTTTCCGACATAGCGTATTCCCGATGAGCAGAAAGGGAGTGTTGGAGGCGGTGATCTCTACCAAGTCTTCAGACAGTTATAAATGGCAGTAGATTCGTGAACTCAGGTAGTACTAGTAGTAGTAGTAGTAGTAGTAGAGACCAGTCCGAGATTCAGAGAGCAGTGAGGGGTTCGTCATAGGGCATCAAGGAGTTCAGTGTCTGAGTTGTTATAATCAAGTGTAACTGTAGCAGAGGCGTCCAATAAATCCAATCATAAAATCTAGAACCCATTGATATTAGTCACATCAAAATCCGTATATGTGAAAATATATATTTAACGAACAGTGTAATAAAAATTTAAGTTGAAAGCACAGGCAAACCCACATAAATGATAGAAGAATTTTCTTAATGGCCGTTTGAAATAGAAACACATCATTAGGAAATTATTTTACGCATCCAGGTTTTATGAAGTAATTACAAGTCAGATTGTAATGAGACAATACTGCAGCGGTCGTCTTACTGTAGAGGCGTTACTGCACTGCACTGAGACGTGAACTTCTCTTCTATACGTCACAGAACTTTATTAAAGTTGATAAAAGAAAACGTGGAGTAAATACGAAGTTTACTGTCTTCGTACGCTCAAATGCTGGGATCATGTGTTCGAAACCCATTCAAGGCATGGATATCTATGTGTAGGTTTATGCTGTGTTCGTGTTTCCATGCGTGTAGGTAGCGGCCTTGCGACGTCCTGATTACTTGTCTAAGAAGTCCTACCGTCTGCGAGAAAATGATTACGAAACACAAGAAGAGGTCAGCGCCCAACAAAGGGCTGTAGAGCCGTCGATGGATGAATGGAAGATACACGAAGTTTGTGATTTAGGTGCGTCAAGGTGCAATATTTACAGTCAATGAAAGAAAATGTCAGTTCAATGCGTAGCTTTAATGATACGTATTTCAAATCGACATTTTGATACGGCGCTTCAAATAACACTTCACGTCGACTATGGTTCTACAACTCTTATGGATCTTGGCCGCTATTTCAGCTTCTTAATCTGTACACAGACGGTAGGACTCCTTGGACGGGGGATCAGGCCGTCGCAAGGCCGCTACCTATACACAGAATAAATGCACACATTTCTCCATGCCTCGAGTGGGATTCGAACCCACGATCCCAGTGTTCGAGCAGGCGAAGGCGGTTCAAGCCCTAGGCCGTGTGGCCACCGTGATAGGCTTAACATCGACAACTTTCAAGGTGATTCAATAAATTGTTTCTAAAAGCAGAAATAACTGGGCAAAATAAAGGGTTCTTCTTTTAATAGGCTTTGTTGTGGGGGGAAAGGATAGACGGTAAAGGAACCAGCATGTCAACTTGGGCGTTCGTCCTTAAAGGGCGGTCGATATCTGAGAGATGACGTAATTTCTTGGAAACTGATCTGCACGAATTGCTGGAGGACGTTCCGCTCCAGATGAGGCTCAAACATGACGGCTGGCCACCCGCAACGGTAGACAAGTAAAGCAAAGCGGTCCCTGTAACAGGACATGGAGGCCCGTAGGGTTGTGAGACGTCGAGGCTGCCACAGTTTGTAAACAGTCGTCTCACAGACTCCACGGTCTGTTACTCGGATACTTACTTACTTACTCACGGAGCTGAGCCCTGCTGAAGGAGCCGCCAATTCTGCAGCTACTCAAGTATTTCCCAGCATTTTACGTAACCCGAAGGTTCATTACCGTGTTCACAACAGCCCTCCACTGGTCCCTATCCTGAGCCAGATCTATCCAATCCATACCATCCCATCCTATCTCTCTACGGTCCATTTTAATATTGTCCACCCACCTACGCCTTGGTCGTCCCTGTGGTCTCTTTCCTTCCGGCTTTCCCACCAATATCCTATACGCATTCCTCGTCTCCCCCATGCGTGCTACATGCCCTGTCCACCTCATCCTCCTTGACTTGATCATTCTAATTATACTTGGAGAAGAGTACAAGTTATGAAGCTCCTCATTGTGCAGTTTTCTCCAGCCTCCTGTCACTTCATCCCTCTTCAGTCCAAATATTCTCCTCAACACCCTGTTCTCAAACACCCTCAGTCTATGTTCCTCCCTTTCAGAGACCAAGTTTCACACCCATGCAGAGCCACAGGCAAAATTATAGTTCTGTATATTCTGATTTTTACGCCTTTGGACAGCAGACGAGAAGACAAAGGGTTCTGGACTGAATGGTAGCAAGCATTACCCGAGTTCAGTCTCCTCTTAATTTCCTCCTGAATTAGGCTTGATACTATATTTATCCAAAAATACTCTATCTGTCACTTCAGCCCGCAAGTGTTAGAAGTCAAACTTGGAGACGTTAGTCACTTACCCGAAGTGACGCAGAGGAGCAGAAGTGCGCTCAGGTACATGCTGGTAGGCAACCAGATGGCTCGACAGTGCACGTCCGCTCTACCCGCTCTATGCTTCATGACTGACACGGCTACTGCCTGTTTTCTCTTCCTTCCCACTTCAAATCTTGAGTCACTTTCTTTCCGCCTCATACAGACCATCAAGCATACTAAATGTATCTTTCTGACGGACTTCAGCTATGGGTTGGACGGCCGAGGATTCTTGTCATGGGCAAGAGACTCATTTATTCCCCATAAGGTCCACACCGGCTCTGGGACCCACCGAGCTTCTTATTCAAAGGGCACCGGGGGCTATTTCCTCGCGGGGAAAACTGCAGGTGCGTGAATCTTACCATTCACTTCCATCTAGTGCCGAAGTCAAGAATCGTGGAGCTATATCTCCACTCCCCCGCGTGGCTTCATGGCTTGGTGCTTACTTAATTAAGGACAGTGATAACTTCACCCTTACACTTCCTCCAACACTGGTACAGCGTCTTTCATGAAGAGTCGAACAGTCAGTTTTTACGTAAGGCTGGGGCCACACGAGCTCACGAAGTACGTCCGTTGCAACGAACGTACTTTATGACGGACGTTGCTGAGGACACCACACATTTGCAGAATGCGGTGCGTAGTTTTTTGTCTGCAAAGGAGCCAGAAGAAAGCGTAGCATTCGCCTCTCTTGCTTATTTTTACAACGGACGTCACGACGTTCATTACAACGGACGCATTTTGTGCGCTCGTGTGGCCCCAATCTAAGGTTCATTCGGCAGTTTTCATCCATGCGTGCCCTCTCTCTCTTTCTTTATTTCGTGCGTCTTTTGTTTGTGTCTTGTGTGTGCGTGTGTGTGTGTGTATATATACATACTATATATATATAATCGGATTTAATACCAAACATACTTTTGATCCTTAAAAGCTACCTCTGCATGACAAGTTTTCAAGTACCTAATGCGATACTGGTGGAATGAGCTAATAATCACTATGTAGCCTCTTTGTTTACACTGAGACTTCCATATTACAAAAGTTGCCATAAGTTCATTCGGGAACTTCTGGTTCACAGCATTTCGTTACCATTGTGTCATCTATGGGCAAACCGAGTTTTAAATTTGCAAGCGAATTCAAATGCGCATCCCTGAATTGCGAAGTAGATAACGAAATACGAGAGGGTTGCTATCCCTACCCAAGCTTTCGGCATCACTCATTTAGCAATGGGCACTGTTGAAGGAGGGGCACGCGGTAGTGTAGTTCGTTGAGGCACTATGCTACAATCCACAAGGTCGTGGTTTCGATTCCCGATGAGGTCATTGGATTTTTTCAATTGACCTAATCTATCCAGCCGCACTATGGCCCTGGAGTCGACTCAGCCTCTAACAGAAATGAGTACAAGGAATCTTTCTGGGGGTAAAGGACAGCTGGCCGGCGCGTAACGCTGGCAACCTCACCGCCATCTGTGATTCGATTGTCTAGAAAATGTGGAAACCTCGACGTCTCACAAACCTATGGGCCTCTACGGCCTGTTACACGGATAGCTTTACCGTACTTTTACTGCTGAAGGACTCGTACCGTCGAATACTTACTGGGTGAAAAGTAAACGTAAAGTTGTCCCTGAGCTCAATTAATTAAGCAGCAGACCATGGAGAAGTATGGAACAATGGAGGTATAGCTCCACCATTCTTAACCTCGGCTGAGTGGCCAGTTTCACGTCCCTGCCGCTCCTCTCCCGGGAAGCAGCCCCAGTACCCATTGTATAGGAGGTTGGGTGGGCCGAATGCTACCGTACCATCCTATGCGTCCTCCCCTCAACCCCCCTTTACCCTTCGGAACCACCAGTTCATATGAATAATTTGCTACCACATCTTTTGTGATGCAGAGGTTCTTACTCCGTTGTTTTTTTTTTTTCCTTTTTCTGAACTGGGTTCAGTATCACTTCACTAATGTCCGTTCCAAAGGACGAGTGAAGTGACATTGAACCCAGTTAAAAAGAAAAGAAAAAAAAAACAACGGAATATGAACCTCTGCAGCACAAGGGGTCAGGGTTGCAAAATCAGAAAATTTCTCACCAGTGCCTGTACAGTCATAACCAGGGCCCGGATTTTGATGACATGTCATCTTTTTTCCTTGTATCCTATGCAATGCTCTTAAATATATAAATCTCGGATATGAGCTGCTGGTTACAGAAATGTAAATTTTATAGGTTTTTCCTTCAGTTTTTGACATTTCTAGGTTTAAGATCATTTTTTCATTTTTGGGGTAATTTTTTGGTAAATTTTTGGACTTTTAAGGGTATTTCTTGTCATTTTTGGCCATTTTAGGGAATTTTTCTTCATATGTTTTCTGAAATGTGAATAAGATAGAAGCGAAGTGTTCTTTCTTTTCTCCTTTAGGTCATTCTTCTGGATTTTTTCGGTCATTTTTTAAATATTTTCAGGCCATCAAAATCCGGGCCCTGCTCATAGCATTTCATTCATATCAATCCAACATCTCCTTACCCAAATGCACTGGGCACTGCGAACTATAACATACATAGAATACTTGTGTTTAGGAAAGCTGAAGGTGGGGGGAGCCTTGACAGAAAATTCTGTTCAGACGCCGTTACGGCCCTCACGCTCACTTATTTAAAAAAAAAATAACAGCGAGATTACCTTCCACCCTGATCCGTGAACAGAACAAACACCACGTTCCAGAAGTAAAGCTATGTGTGTGTTTGAACTATGCTGCATTATATACTCCTGAAAGGAAACGTGACCGTTAAATGACGCAGTAGGGAAATTTAATGTGACCTCTTTCGCCATTAATATTATCCTGTTGGTTAACTTGGAAACAGTTTTGGCGGCAGTTTGTTGGTCTGCAGGGTGCGAAGTGTGAAAAGGAAGAAGTTATTCGTACATATTGTAATTTGTTTCGGAGCAGTTTACACTTTGAAAGGTAATGTTATCCTAGTACTTCATTAAGCAAGACGACACGAGTTTGCATGGGAAAATAAAAGGTAGGATCACGTCCTGACGGTTTTATGCATGGGGGAAGTGACCTCAGTACCCAATGACAGCACAGACGTACCTACCAAAGGGGCACGAAAGTGTAAAAAGAAATAAATGTGTAGACACAAATAACATAATAATATATTTTGCATATTTGAGAAGAGATACTATATCACTACACCGACATTCATACGAACCATAGCTGTGTACTACTTCACTCAATTCAGTCTCTGCTCAGAATCACTGTGCTTTCGGACTTTGTCCATCATTTGGTATTTTAGAAACTGGAAAACATAATGTTTTGGAAACTGGATTTGTTTCTGCCCTCAGGTGATTGATTGTTTCTGTCCTCAGATGATTGAGGTTAGCGCTTACTAAGGAACCCAACAGAGTAGGTGGCACCCCATAATCACATGAGAACGGAAACAGATCCAGTTTTCGAAATGTTGTGTTTTCTGGTTTTTAGAATACCAGATGATGGACAAAGTCTGAAAGCCTAGTAATCCTGAGTATTATATACCATCGTCAGAATCCTTTACAGTCCATTCAGTGTCTGTTATTGGCAACAGAATAAATGAATCTTTTTGGCCTATTGTATTGTTACAATTTTGTGAAAGCATTAAATTTTTGCCAAGTAAGAGTTTAATTACTGTTTCTAAGAGGGTAATGTGAAATGTGTTACATATTTTGCTTGGACTTGAGACTGTTCTGTTTTCCACTTGTAGGTGGTTATTACAAGTAACTGTATTGTTTATAGGACCTCTTTCTCTGTTTACTAATTTATGCAACACTTTGGGGGTGTTATTTGAACTAGTTATAATATGCTGAATGTATTTGTTTTTGCAATTTTTGTTACACCATTATATTCCTCTTTTATATGTTTTATACTTATCTCTGTGTTCATGCATCTTCCTTTTCATATAAAAACACTCCATGGCGTTTAGTCCACAAGTGAACTATACCGAGCAAATGCAGCTTATCAGTGAAGTTAGTTTAAACTTTTGCAGATAGAGGGGTGTCGCGTGGTCAGTGCAACAGATTCCCGTGGACATTAGTCTCAGTTTTCTAGACCGGAGCCGATACTTTTCCATTCAAGTAGCTCTTCAGTTATCCTCATGAGGCTGAGTGGACCCTGTTCCAGACACACTACTTCTGAGAAAATTTGGTAGCCCTGGGAATCGAATCCAGGGCCTTTGGATTCTGTAGCCAGGAACTCTGAGCACTAGACCAAAGATCATATAAGATTTTTAGTTTTAGTCTCGCTGTAATAACTTTGTTATTTATCCAAGGAACATTCTGAGAACTTACAATAGTTCTTCTAACTTTTGGCCAAGCTAAATTAAAATAATAGTTAAAGATGCTGTAAGACAAATACCATTTTTCTTCATATCATTTTCGTGGAATACATCAGTATAGGTTTTATTTTGTATTAAGGAGCATAGGCTTATATTGGCCTCTGATACATTCCTGATCTCTTTTTAATGTTTAATTTGTTGTGGTACAGTTATATTAATGGTGATACATTGTGCGTAGTGGTCTGACAGTAGGCTGTTTATTACAGCAATGGAGTAGCATTGTGCAGGCATATTAGTAATGATTTGGCCTATAAATGTTGCTGTAATTTCAGTTTGATTTGGGAGTGGGGCAGGGGGGGTGAGACTGAGTTCACTTGGTGCTGTGGCCACTACTGGCATATGTAATTTCAGTTACTTGTGTTGGTGTATTTGTTCTCATAGTCAGATTATAAATGTTTGAAACTGTTTAAATCTCCACCAGGTGTTGACATAACAGTCTTTCTGTACTAATTACTCCAGAACATATATTAAGTGTACAAATAATTCATGTAGTATAATGCAGTAATTATTATTTGTTTCCTTGCACCTGTCAGTTCTGTACCAGTAACTTCTAGTACAGGAACATCATCTTAACTATCATTCTCAAGGTTGCGAGCTTTGCCATATTTAAAAAAAATAAATCTGTTAGTTACCTTTATATTACAAGTTTAGCCTATATTCATGAGGTATAACATGAATATATATTTATCTTCTTCTGTGTTCACTTTTGTCCTGACCTTACTGGCAACTAACAGAATTTTTGCATGTTCCTTTGTGGTGTTTATGTTTTCCTCCAGTAAGTTGAACATCATAACTACAGGTCCCATTCAGGTTCAGTTCACCCTGCGTTTATTGGACTTTGCCATTGGTAAACTCTAAAGCAAAGTTGAAAAGATGTGGTTATAACTCAGCTTGTTTCAGTTGTGTAAACAGTAATCTGTAGCATTCAGTGTCTCTTGTTTGGCTAAGGGCAGAATTGTGTTTGTTACCTACAATGGAAGTGATATTCTATAGAATGAAATATTAATATCAGTGCTTTGTTATCACTAAATCCTAACTTTGTTTAACATAATGTCAGTATGGAAAGCAAGCGCTCAGATGGGAGATCATTTTCACATGTGAATACCAGACTATTACTGCTTTCATGTTCTGGCCCTTGCCTTTACATTTTCTTTTAATAGTACATCTTGCCTTCCAGCTCCAACTGAATGAAAATGTTGCTACCACTTTGTTCTAATCACCTTTTTGGTACACAATTTTAATCTCTTCTTTATTAATTTGACTTTTTGATTGAATTGTCTCACTTGTTCTGACATTACAGTTTTCTTTGCAGGCAATAGAACATGCCTGGCGTTGGTGCTGGGTGTTCAAGAAGTGAGCAAGATTGTGAAGATGATGAATTGGAGATCCTGAAATCATTCATAGAATGTGCTGAGATTCCAAGCACCAAAGGAAATGTCGCCGTTGATGACAGTAATATATTTGACCCTGTTGAACATCAATTGCTGTCTGATCACAGTCCACTCACAGAAGTGCATACTAATGATCGATCACTGGTAAAGAATGACAGTGTCATTCATAGTGGTGATACAGACTCTTCAGATGATGAGTGTTCTGATTATGGCAGAATTCTAAAGAAGATGCTTGTTGACAAACAGAAGCCATTTAGAGAGGTTGAGGTACCAACCAGCAGTGCTTCATCCTGGAAGAAGGGACGTACCTCCACTGTCTCATCTGCACTTCACACAGAAAAATTACTGCAGTCGTCACTAGATGTGTGCAGTGATTCCATGTTTGGTATTCGGATGATGTAAGTATCATGGTTACATGTTTTGGCTCATGCTGGTAAAGGTAAGATAAGGTAAATCTCTCCCTATAACAGACCATGGAGGCCCATAGGGTTGTGAGACGTTGAAGCTCCCACATTTTCTAGACAATTGGCTTGCAGATTGCGGTGAGGTCAGCCTTGTGAACCAACCGCCCTTTACCCGCAGGAAGATTCCTGGTACTAATTTCTGTTAGAGGCTGTCAAACCCAGGGCCATAGTGTGGCTGGGAGGATTAGGTCAATTGAAAAATTCAGTGACTACATCAGGAATCAAACCTGCAACCTTCCATCTTGTAGCATAGTGCCTCAACCAACTATGCTACCGCATGTCCTCCGTGCTGATATAGTTTGATGCAAATCAGACTTGTGGTATAATTGTTACCACAAAGTTTTGTTTTATTTCAGATGTACTTGTACAAAAGCAGTTCTTCAGGCAGTACAGTGCTGTACTATCAGCCAGTCACACAGAAATGAGTTTATGTAGTGGATATAAATGGCATTCCTAGGCATGTTGCATCATCGGCAGTCCTACTTTTGTTGCTGCCTGCTCTTTTCCCGTATTTATGTCTTGGGGCCATTGGCCTGCATTATTTGGACTCATTTGTGTTCCTATTATTCGGACAATGAATTCAGTATTTTATACTAAATTTAAAAGAATTGCATGGAAATATTTTGTATGCCAGTATTGAATTTGATCTAGAAATGAAGCTAAATTGAACCTGTGGCTGTGTTAACTAATTTAAGGTCAGTGACAGTCATGGTGTAACAATGGCTAATGAATCATTTTGTAATGTGTTAAACATTTAAATGGTGATAAACAGCCGCAGCCATTAACAGGTGGATTGCATGACAAGAAGACTTGTCTTATGTGAAAAAGCTTATAAGTTAATGTATGAAATGTTTTGCCCATTGTTTAATTTGATTATGAAATGTGTCTTGTTGGATTGAACAATTTATGAGTATGTGAAAGTCTGTTAGAAAAAAGTAATCAAAACTAAATTAGTTCAAATAAGCGAAGTGTAAACTAATCAATGAAGATGTTTTGAATTTTAGTTCTTTTAGTGATAAAGGTGGGTTGTCTGTGTGCGTATATCAACAGGGGAGGAAACTATGTATACAGTGTTCAGATTGTGTGCACAAACAATGAATGTAGTATTCCCAGATAGAAAAGAAACTGTTATTTTATGGTTAGTTTTATTGTCTGCCAGAAGTTGAGTATGCCCATTTCAAGTCACCAGTTAACCCTTTGTGGTCCCGTTTATATAATACTGGGCTCTCTGCTGGTCCATTTAGATGTCAGTGGGCTATGTAGTTTCAGCTGCTTTTATGAACTGGTTTGTTTTTGTTTATAACTTGGTTAAAATGGAAGAAACCTTGCTAAGTGTAATGAAAATATGGTCTGAAAGGATTACAGTTCCTACTGTTTGAATGTTGGCTGTGTGAAATATTTGTCATGGACTGTACCACTGTCACAGATGAGATGTATAGTGAGTGGTGCCTTGCTGCGTGCTGTTGTTCGGTGCAGAATAAAACCGAGACCAAGTCATTCAATAATATTCTCATATTATGTGCAGATATGTGAGGTATAAGCACTGGGTTTCGTAATCTCTGAGCAAAATTTTCTTTTGAGTTGTTGGCGTTTGTAAGTTCACAACTGCTGTCAGCACTGTAAAATGAAACACAATGCAGAGTGTATATGATGAAAACACCACATATAAAGAATGCATGGTAAGCAGATGATAAAATTTGCATGTGTCAGTGTTTGATTACTCTATGTGTCAAAGATAATTAAAAAACTAAAATGTCATACTACAATGATGGGATATTTATGTTACAACTTCAGTTGATATAAAATATTTCTCTTAGCTACATACCCAGTAATATATTATATTTAAGCATCTTGTTGCACTATACACTTCTATATGTAATAATACAAATGCCATCATGAATGCAACAATTTATTTGGTTGTAGTTATTTGGCTTTTCTTCCTCTACACTGCATGTTTCGGTCACAACCGGCCATCATCAGGTGTATTGTTCACTATGTAGCTGTCACACTGCACACAATCTAAAATCTAAAACACCAGCCACATGAAAATCCCACTAAAATTTTTAAAATAGCTTCCTTGTAAATATGTCTTTGTAGAACTGTGAAGTCAAGCCACTGTTCAGGGAAAATGTCACGATGTTTTACCATGTTCTATATAACACCATGAAATTCCGTCAGCTCTTCAGTTGTGACATGTTCCCACCTGACCCAATGAGTTTTTTCAAAGGGATAGCTTAATTTATTTTTCACTTTTTCCCATGTGGTGGGGTGAGACTTAGTCCACTTGGTACGTCAACCACTTATTGCTCCATTGTACTAGCCCTGGATGGTAGCTGAGTATGGAGTAGTCGGTGGAGTGAGAATTGACAGGAAAACTGAAGTACTCAGAGTAGCTCTGTCCCAGTGCCACTTTATTCATCACAGAGCTCACAGCCTGAGTGGGGATTGAATCTGGACCAGTGCAGTGGGAAGCTTAGCAGCTAACAGTCTGACCTATGGCATGGCCTTTTTTTTCACTTACACTTATGTTGGTTTCAGCAGCTATTTCTTCAATCAAAGTTGCAACAAAAAATATAGAAAAATGTCATATGGAGAAACAGGCATTTGTCTCTTTGGTGGTGGTTTAAAACCAGGTGAGGCACAAAATGGTTTCTTACAGAAATCATATCCAGTTTCATCCCAGAGAGCCCAGTCTTCATTATTTTCTTTGTCATCACCACAACCCACATTTGCACTTGCCTGACCATCAGAATTTCCACCACTATCACCCAAATGAGGCCCACTTTTTTCTGCACCATGGTCAATATGCTGAAATACGTCAGTATCAGAATCGTGACAAATTTCACATCATGCAGTTGTTCACGGATCTGTTTGCTGCCCAACGTGCCCACTTGTAGACACCATTGGGATATAACTACTGAGAAGAAAAATATGCAGACCCTTTGCAAAATCTGTTATACTTGTAAAGTTCACCCAAATATTGCAAGGAATGGTAGGTTAACAGCAGTGCACAGATGAAGGGAATTGATCACAGTGACAACTACATGGCATCAGGTCCCAGAAATGCATTGGTAAGAAGACTGAGAATATTTGATGCTGAAGAGAATATTCTGACCTAGGAGAGGAGGGTTGAGGAATTTCTGTAATTAGAATAATAATTTCTGCTGTTTATCAGATGATTATATTGAGGATGAAATGAGGGGCATGGGAGAGATGAGAAGTGCATACAGACTTTTAGTTGGAAAACCTGCAGATAGGAGGCTAGTAAGGAAACTTAGGCATAAGTAGGAAGATGATATGAAAATGGATCTTAAATAAATAGGATAAGCAAATGTAGACTGGGTTGATGTGACTCAGGAAAGGAACCTGTGAACGTTGTGATGAACCTTTAACATTCAACAAAATGTGGGAATTTTTGACCAGCTGAGTTAGTTTTTCAGAGAGGACCTCTGCTGTTTGAGTTTGCTACTTTGTTTCATGAATGTTGCTTTTACCAGCATTATATTCTGTAGTACTTTGTGCTGGGCTAGCAGTTGAATTACTAAATTAAAGTTATTTCCCAGCTCGTATTGAGTGCTGGCTGGCGACCGTGTCCCCGGGGATAAGGTGGCCCGGGCGTGAAGCAGGCCTCTCACCTCCATCATGTTCCGAGGTTAAGAACATATGAATGTGTACGTTCTCTCATACATTCTCATGGCACAGTTCTTAATTAAGCTGAGGGATAACTTTACCTCTACTTACACACCAGATTATCCTGTCTAAATCACAGAGGCAACTCTGCCTTTATGTTATGTGCTGATTGTCATTTCTAATTTAAAGCTTGAGTGTGAATTCCATTTTTCACAGAAACCCTTGTGTGTCTTCTTCATTGCTGAAGGAGAAGATGCAGAGCCGTGAGGCAGTCCCATTAGCAAGGTTGAAGAGCCATGTAACCAGAGGCAAGATGTCAACTGACTGGGTTGTTGCTGGAGTTGTAATACAGAAATCCTGCATGAAGACGTCTCAGAAGGTATAAAGTTAGAGTGAGTTCATGATGATACAGTGTGAAATAAGTGACCCTCTGGCTGCCCAGAGGGTATGTACAGGAATGATGTTGACATCAATTGTAAGCTCTTGAAATTGTTAGGTATTAGATTTGGCAGAAGCAATGAAGTACTGTATAAATGTTAAGGTGTTCTGTATGGCTGCTCAGAATATGCAAACCCAAACATGTGATGATATAAAGCCATGATATAAAAGAAGGAAGTTGAACAGTTTAACTTTTGAAGCATATGCCACAGTACTTTGTTTCAGCATGTTGACATTTTTGGATACATTGTCAAAATTTTCTTTTTGAGTACAGATATTGCTTTTCATGAGTTTCATTTGTATTTATGTGTTGGTATGACTGTCAATCCAGTCTTGCACTTTTTAGCCTACTTTTCTTGTTTTAAATAATAACAGTAAGCCTAGGATATCACTTGTCTATCTGTGTGTCTCTATATGTATCTCCCCACTAACAACTTTTGAATTCTTTCTTCAACTTTTGAATTCCTGAACCAGTCATGAAATCTGGTACGTATATAATGACACCTGAGCCCATCTCTAGGTCATAATCATAAATCCCTCACATCAGTAATATCAACAGTACAACCTCTCAAATTTATGAGCGAAAACGTTAGTATTACTTGAACGTCTGTAGCAGTCTTCATGAAACTCAGTATGCATATCATGCTACATGAAGCCATCTCAACAGTATCCTTCATAAATCCCTTTGATCAGTAATACCAGCACTACAGCCTCTCAGATTGGTTCGGTAATAACCATAATGTTACTTATATTACTGAACCAATTTTCATGGAATGTAGTAAGTATATCATGCTGCCTGAACACATTTCAACAGTGCACATCATAAATTCCTCTGATCAGTAACACCAACATTACAGCCTTTCATATTCCTGAGGCAAAACCTTAATATTGCTTGAATGCCTGTACCAGGCTTCATGAACCTCTGTATGTGCATCATGCCACCTGAGCCCATGTTAGCAGTGTACTTCGTACATCCTTTCCATCAGTAATACCAATATTCGAGCCATTCAAATTGCTGATGCAAAACCTTAATATTGCTTGATTCTTCATATTTATGGTTTATCTGCATTTTTTTTGGACAGTAGTTGTTTGTGATCTACGAAGTTATAATCTCTTTCAGTTTTAAGAGTGTGCGAACACTGGTACAGAAAATGTGTGTCTATGTTGTTAGGTAGTCGCTGTTTTTATCATGTTGACATTTTAGGGAAATTGGTAGAATGCATTTGCTTTTTAATTGTATTTGGAACTTGATATTTTACATTATTTTGCCTCTCATGTTCTGCATCCCTTGATTTTGGTTTCATTGTAGCATATTCTTATTATACAGGCAAGTTCTTAACTTTGTTGACTGGTTCATGGCGCTGTGCTTCACAGCGACCAGCGCACTGCCGGCTCAGAAGCGAGATATGAATTTTGCTGATGAATCAATAGGCCAGTTGGCCAGTAACATTTGGAATGAAGTAATTACAATTCACAGATCACAGTTGGTGTTGAAAATGCTGTCCCTCTACATGTAGACATTCCTCGCACTGGAAGAAGAGGTTCTGATTTACCCTCTGAAGCTCTTCTGCAGGATTGTTTGCAATTTCCATAGGAATATTTTCTTTCAGTTCTTCCAAAATTACAGTCTGAAGAAAACAGATGTAAGAATTTTCCTTATTCTGATCAACACCATTGCTTAAATGTTAATTATAATAGACTTCTCATTATGTGGCATGTATGAGGAATGTAATTTACATTTACGTTAATCTCCTGGTTGCATGCGAAAAACTTTTACACAAATCTAATTTGCGTGCAATTTCATTCTTTTCCCGTGTGGATGTATACATTCACTCCCCTATACGACTTCATGGCATAGTGCTTAATTCGTTGAGCACAGGGACAACTTTACCTTTTACCGATGTTTTACATATTTCCACTTTTTCTTCAGAGTGAGATCAAGACAATTTCTCTTCCATTCTTGCATGGGAGCCTTTTCAGGTGATGTAGCCGATTAATGGGTGAAAGATTTCGGATATACACAATTAGAAATTCTACTAGCCTCTACTGTAATCATGGATCACTGTGACTGTATTGGCACTTGCATGAGGGAAGATGATGGGCAGTGCCGCTAGTGATGATTGGTAAAAGTACTATATGACAGTGAACATATTTGCATTGCAACTTTGTTTTTGAAGTCTTTTAAATTTTTGTTGGTTTTGTGGGATTCATTATGCTTGGATACCAGATGACCAGAAGTTTACCATCTTATGAAGTAGTCAGTGTAAAATACATCTTGTGGTAATGGGTGTGTAAACATTATATGTTTGTAGTTCATTTAATGACACTGTCACTCACTCAGACTCTATAGCATTGAGTGAAAACATAAATTTGTTGTGGTGTATTGTACAAAGGTTTAAGGAGTGCATTTTTCAGGGCACACAGTACTATATCTGGAAACTGAGTGATCTTAAAGAGAACCTCAGGACATTCTCGCTGTTCTTGTTCAGAGCTGCTGCAAAAGAATTATGGAAGACAAATGAAGGAACAGTCATAGCTGTGCTGAATCCTGATATTTTGGAGAACAGGTATGTGCCACAGTAGTACTACATCATATTTAAAAGAACTTGGTCTCACTGTCAGCTGGGAGACCAGATATTGTTATTTCCATGCTTTATCTACATTTCCTTCTCTTTCCCTCCTACTCTGTCTCTCTTTCTGCTGTTGGTCCCACTTTGAAGTATAGGGCATTCATGAAACGCTTCCTATCACTTCAGTATCTTAACGCTAAGAAAGTCAGTAGGACTCCATGGATGAAGGATCAGCCCATCGCAAGGCTGCTACATACACAGACACAGAATAAAGGCAGACATACATCCATGCTTTGAGTGGGATTTGCAGCCACGATTCCAGTGTTCGAGCGAGCGAAGACAGTTCATGCTGTAGACTGTGCGGCCGCTGTGATCGGCTTTGCCCATGCACACTCTTCATAATTGTGCTTTCATTTGTACAGCACCGTTTAATATGTTGCCACTGATGTGTCTTAAATAAAACTATAAACAAACTGCCGTACGAAGAGTAATTTTGTGTGGAAAACAAACTTGAACCCCGTGCAGTTTAAATAGAGACTGGAAGTGCTATAGCTGATGTTCAATTGATTATTCTTTGCAAGAGTAACTGACACAAGATGGATGAGTCCCAACTCGATAATTGTCCTAATCAACAATGTATTTCATGTTTTCATGGCCATGTACTTCATTAGGGCTATTGAACTTCCCCACCATGAGAAGTTGGCAGCTGTATGGGGAGAAAATTCATTACTGGTGATTAGAAATGCTGTGTAGTTTGAAGTAGTGAGCAGTGTATGAGAAGGTAGAATTCCAGCTTCATATCTGGGAGGTTATGACCGCTTCCTTCCAAGTTCTTCTCAATTCATTGTTCACTGATAATTATAGAACTGAATGCAATATAGTCTGCACTACTGATATGTCGTTAAATAAATGTAAATAAATAAGTTAATAAATTGTGAGATTTGAGGTTTTCACAGAGGTGGCCATGAAGAGAATTGTCTGCTGCCTGTTGTGTGTCTTACTCTTTGGCCCTGAAGAAGGAGATATTATTCCTCTAGAATGTTAGTAAATTTCAACCAGACTGTACAGTGTCACATCCCAGAAGATAGTGCTCTTCATATATTTACTTCTTTTCACTAGTGTGATATCCAGACATTGCTGTAATGCTGAAAACATGGGGTGTTAAATAATTATATTACGAATTCTGTAGGGTGAGGAGCAGGCATCATCATTACTTCAAAGTCTTACTGATGGATTTCTAATTTATTTTATTTCTGAAGATGGTTTAATAAGATATATCACAAATGGGGCTATTTACGCAACAATAATATCTACAAATGCAAACAAAGATATGTTGATACTAATGTATCACAATTCGTTTATTGTGCAGAGGTGTTCTGCTATGTTTGAACCTTCATAGGGTCATCATCAAGCATACTTAACTAGAATCTGGTCTTAGTTCTTGAATATATTCTTGTAAGTACAATTTGTGTTTGTTTACATTAGTAGATATTGTTGTTGCATAGATGGCCCCCATCTGTGGTATCATGACACACAACAGGATGCATACCATAAAGATTGTTTAATAAGAGATAAGTTTGTAAAAAAAAAGTAGTATTTTTTTTTTTTTTTGATGTTACAGGCCGAACAGTGGCGATGAAGCAGTTCTGTCTGTCGATAATGCTCAGAGAATTTTAATCTTGGGCACTTCAAAGGACTTGGGAGTCTGTAAAGCCATGTGAGTTAATTATAAGTTTAACTCTTGGTACTTAACATGAAACATTGGCACATAGGGTGGTCCAAGTGACTTAAAATTTACTGCCATGCTAGTGCTACCAACCTNGGCTTTTATTTTTAAAAATAAATTATAAAAACCTTCTAAATTTAAGCCTTTAAGTTTTGTTTTTACAAATAAACTTCTGTGGTTGGCAGCACTGATGTAGTGGACTTTGTGGATGTAACCTTTTCAGTTCTTTGGATCATGTGCTTCTTCATTGGAACTATAGCCCTGTGTGGGTCTCAGCCTCCCCCATGGTCCTCCTCTGTAGGCTGTGAAGGTTTCATAACAGTAGGTTTTCTGGAATGGGATTGTCAGCCCCATGCCCAACCCCCAACCTGGACTACCAGGGAGTACACTTCATCTGGCCTCCACCCTCAAACCTGTCTGGCATGGGTGGCCCTAGCAGGTGGTTGTGCTTCCCCCAATTGAGGCCCTTTCTTTAGGACTCTCAGGACCTTAAGAGTCCAGTAGCATAAATACCATGTAAATGATATACCTATCAAGATAACCCGATGAGGTCATTAAATTTTTCAATTCGCCTAATCCTTCCAGCCACACTATGGCCCTGGGGTCAACTCCACCTCTAAAAGAAATGAGTACCAGGAATATTCTTGGGGGTAAAGAGTGACCAGCACATAAGGCTGACAACCTTACCACCATCTTTGAGCCGATTGTCTAGAAAATGTGGGACCCTCGACGTCTCACAACTGTATGGACCTCCACGGCCTGTTACAGGGATAGCTTTACTTCTTTTTAATGATAATATGCATACCTGTCAAGGTAGGTCAGTCCTAACATTGCCAAATTAAAAGTTTCTTTGCAAATTATGTTAATGTAAGTGTATAACAGTGTATTACCTTTATTCTGTCGCACTTTTAGCACATAGTGGTGCTTGTAAACACTTCATATGCATCAACCCTAGGTCAGGAGAGTGTACTAGCTCTTCCAGGAACTGTATAGGATAACATTGCAAGCAGATTGTGCCTAAGCATTTGATATTGTGATATATATAGCTTTACTTTTATCATAATTTTCCAGGAAGAAGAATGGTGATCGCTGCACAATGTTTGTGAATAAGAGCAAATGTGAATTCTGTGTGTACCACTTGAAGTTGGAGTACCATAAGTGTTCAAAGAGAACAGAGCTTAACTCTCCTGGAAGGAGCGGCTTGATTAATATTCGGAACAAGGTGTTAGGGAAAAATGAGGTGAGCTTGCCAATGAATATATGGTTTAAAAAATGAACACCGATAAATAAAACACATTTTTTTCTATGGTTCTATGATTGGAAGTCATAATGTTTTAATTATCACCAAGAGAAAATCATAATTCCAGAATATTGTTCTATATAGGAGATAGCCCATTTCCTGAGCTTGCCAAACAGTCAGATTTTCGCATGCCAAGTGGACAGAGGGAGCCACTGGAAGGGGCAGAAGCAAAATGGCGATGTTGGTTGAGAATGTGGAGGCTCGTGCTGTGATACAGTTCCTGCATTTGCAAGGGAAGTCTGCCAAGGAGACCCACGACCAGATGACCGCTGTGCATCAGGAAGGTGTACCATCATGACACAGCGGTCAGGTGGAAGAGGTGCTTTCGGTCTGTACAGACAAACCTCGAAGTGGAAGAACATCTCTCGCATAGGAACTGGGAGTTGTGGCACAGGTGGAAAGCTTTGATCCTATCAGATAGGCGCTTAACTATCGAAGCTATTGTTCATGAGGTCCGCATATGCATCAAGTGTTTGTTGAATGTAAAGATTAAGTAGTTGTGTGTGATCAGCGGTAGATTTGATGATAATGGCATGTGGTTCTGGATCCTGTTTTGAGACTGTCCATGTTCTGTACCAAGCTGTGAACTCAGTGAAGTTGACTGCATACTGACAGTCCTGTTGCGATGTGAACTTTAATGCTGTTGACAATCTTATGGAGTGGACTGATATGCAGCCTTGGCCTACTATAATGTCATGATCTCACCTACATTGTCATTGTACAGTGCTCCAACCTGGTGTATTGTTATGCCCAGTGATTGCGATTTTGACTTCATGTGTGTGACTGGTTTGAATTTTAATGTGTGCACCTGAAGTAGGCTGTGTATATCTTCAAAGACTAAATTGCTGGAGCACCTCTCATGGCTTGTGCTCTGAGAGATGACCACATGACTCATTTGGAGGACAGCAGAAAATTTGAGGAACCATGTCAGCTAATGTGCGTTGGCTCCGTGGCAGGCTGGTGACATCCTCGGTTACTGCATGAGCGGCTGAACTAATTATAACGTAGCATTGCATGAGGACAACTGTACCTTATCATTTTACTATAATAAAGCATTGATTGTAGTTAGTTCAGTTATATATATATAATTGTATAGATGACCTCTCATATATATACTATATGTTATCTTGTTTATGAGAGCTGGGATAGTACAGTCAGAATAGAGACTGGCTACAGGCTGGATGACCAAGGGGTTTGAGTTTGAGTACCAGTGGGGGCAGAATTTTCACTTCTTTGTGTCATCGAGACTGGCTCTGGGGACCACCCACCTCCAACTGGTGCCAAGGTAAAGGAAAAGTTGGTCTGTACAGCCACTTCCCCAAACGCCTTCATGGCATAGTGCTTAATTAGTTAAGCACAGGGACAACTTCACCTTTCATCTTGTTTATCCTGGAATCGGCAGGGAAATAAAGCACTGAACCTGTGCTGGCCTGCTATATAAACTTGTAGCAAGTCACACCGCAATCAGAACACCAATGATATTGCTTAATTCTTGATCCAAATCAGATTTTGAGATTCTCACAGTACATGTTTACCAGTGTTTTGGCAGAATGTGCCACATCTGTAATCAGGTATTCTTCCCTAGAGATGGAGAAGGTAGCAGATTCTACCGAAACATTGGTAATTATCTACCAGACTACACAGTGTCACATCTCAGATTGCAGAAATCCACATTTTTTATGTTGGTTAAAGTGACAGGATGCTCATTGTCCTACATGAGTCCTATCTGAGGGTGCTGATGATCACTGTGTTAAGCAGCTGACTACAACTGATGTATTTTTTCTTTTTTATAAGGTGTTTTATGCAGGGAGGAGTTTCACTGCAATACCAGCCAAACGTAATGTTAAACAACATCAAAAGGATGAACAGCGACTCAAATCCTTATCATCGAAGAGACCTAGTGTTGTCAGCGCACCTCTGACACATTTTGGCATAACAGTGTTGTCTCATGGTCAGAAACCCCTGACACATCAGCAGTCCGACGCTGAGAGGTTACTGAAGTTACAGAAAGGAAGTGAAGTGTCCTGTTCAGGACAGGGCAGTTCCACAGATGACATGCAACATATTTCTGAAACGAAGTCTTTGCCATTTGTTATGAAAGCGGCAGAAACTGCAGAGAAAACAAAGTCCATGTTTTCCACAGCAAAACAGTCCAAGGAATTGTAAGTTTCTGATAAGGATACAGTATTTATGAAGTAATATTTGTACATTTGTTGTTTCTTAGCTTATCAATTGACATTGTTGTTGAGGATTCCCCTTCTAATATTGAAGCTCTTCTGCCAGTTTCTGGCTTGTATTAATTTTGTTTTAACAACTTGAGTATTTCAGTCAGTAAAGTGACTAACATAGGCTGGACAACTGGACAGTCAGGATTCAATGGGTTTTGTGAAGGATTTTGCAGATTATTATAGGTTATTTAGTAATGCTGTACCATTGGCTGAGAAATAACCTTAGCCAGTAATGCAGCATTACTAAATAACCTATAAATAAGCATTAAGGCTGTTTCCTTCTAGGATGTGGTGCTGTGTAGTTTTAGTTGACAGGCACCCATCTAACAAACTAAACAGTAAATGATATAATGATACAAATTCCGTCCCAAGTGCAAACAGTATATTATGTGTCCTTGATCTTGTTCACCCACACTACATGTTTCGGACTCAGACGGCCATCATCAGGGTTACTCGCCCACAGGGTAAGTACAAATACAATATAAACACATAAGAAAACATTACGTACACAAGATAATAATACGAATATATTTATATATTACAGATAACACCTATACAGTGTGGGAACAAGAACTAGCTGCTGCAGCACTTTAGACATAGGGCGAGTAACCCTAACAATTTTAAATTTGGAATTTGGAAAAAAATTTTAAAGGATCTTAAAATTAGAACTAAAGATTTTATAGTGCTACTACAGGTACGTCAGAATTAACGTGTGTAAAGTGGTCTACATCCAGACAGATATCAACGAAGTAGATGTTGATAATAACAAGGAAAGTGTTTTAAATGTTAAATTTTAGGCTGAGTGCAGTGTGACAGCGACGTGAGTGTTATACACCTGATGATGGCCGTCTGAGGCCGAAACATGTAGTGTGGGTGAACAAGATCAAGGACACATAATATATTGTTTGCACTTGGGACGGAATTTGTATCATTATATCATTTATCGTATAGAGTGCAACAGGATGCTTAAATATAATATTGTAAACTAAACAGTATCATGTCCCAGAAGACCACAATCTTAATATTTCTGGGTTCTCAGAGGACTTAAGAAAACCACAATGATGGCTACTACTCAGGCCTGAAGTCAGTCAGAAATGTTGTCTGTTAGTAATCTGTGTAGTGGATTTATTTAAGTTCAGTTTTTTTAATCCCTGGTTTGTGTGAGAAGTTGTATTTGAAATGAATGTTATGTGAATATACCAGACTCTTGATAAATTGCACTTGGGGATAAAAATTTGGGCCATGTTTCTCATACATGTTGATAAATTCTGCTTAGTATATCATTTATTTAAAGTTCAACTCATTTTAGTATCATTCCGGGAGATGGAACAAGTTTGAAGCCTGTGAAGTTACATGCTGGTTCTGGCAGTCACATTGACTTGAATATACCTGCAAATAAAGCACAGAGGCAACAAGCCATGGTAAGGGATGCATGACTGTTTCTCATTTTAATTTCTAACTGTTAAACTTCCCAGTCATATCTGTCTGTCCCATATTTTGAAGAATACTGGAATCTGAGTAGAGGGTTTACTTCCACTGTAGCATATGCATTTTATGAACTGGAAACATCTTGCACTTCCCGTTTATTATGAGCAAAATTAGAAATATGGTGACTTGAAATAATGCCAGTTTATTATAATGGACAATACTTAATTTGAAATGAACAGTACTAAATAAAACATACACACAGTATAAAGAAAAAACTAAGTCACCAATTTTATGGAACAGAGTATCCCTTGAAATACTGCCAGACACAGCTCATCCAGAAATTCCCAGGATTTAAAGGACACAAAGTTTTGGTACCATGTCCATCACTGGCCCATATCCTGACCTCCTGAACCTGCTCCACACCCTTACATCCTGTTTCATAAGATTCATTTTCATATTATCCTGCAATCTGTGCCAAGGTTTTCAAAGTGGTCTTTTCCTTCAAATCCTTCAACATATTGTTTAAATATTTTTAATTTCGCCATCCATTCTGCATGTCTTTTCAATCTCATTCTTGATTTGATCATTCAAGTACAGTGGAACTTTGATTTTTCAATACATGGTTTTATGGTTCCTTTGGGGGGGGGGAAGACGTGAATTTACGCACTTCTTGGATAGTCATGGTCAAATGCCCATAACAGTAATGTTAATTTGGAAGATTCGAGACTCTCACAGGAGTGCTTATGAAGAGGGTTCTATCTCTTGGGACATAATGCTGTGTAGTCCATTGAAAGTCAACCGACATTTTAGAGGGTAATGCTGCCTGCATCTTCAGGGGTGAATAAGCCAAGAAACAGAGCTTGACATTCAGTGGACTGCAGAGTGTTGCATTCTGTGAGATAGCTGTATCCCCCTACTTTGTAAGGTTGCAGTGTTCTAAGCTTTTAGACCCTATTTATTTCAGATTTATCATGACTGAAATTGTATCTTTTTACTGTTAACTGTCAGATTAATGCTAAGAAATGGATTCAACTTCATGGATGCTTAAAGAAGTCAGATCCAAATAGTGTAAGAAATGACAGAGGTTCTGGAAAAAAGAGGAAACTTGAAGAGACCTCTGGAGAAGGAATAGTGTCAGCCCCATCTTCAGTACTTCAAGGTACTTGCCCATTGTTATGTCTATACCAGTGACATCCAGATTGACTCATTGGCACTCAGAGGTACATGAAATATTTCAAGAGGACAATGTTACTGATGGATATTTTGTGTGCCAATGTGAAGTAAATTTCCAAGAAGAATATGTTTAGTCTTCCTCTTCCTCTTCCTCCTCCTCCTCCTCTTCCTCCTCTTCCTCCTCCTTGACTGGAGTTTAGTGTATGACTTCGGCTTTATGCTGTGTAGAATGTTGATGGTCTTCCGCCTCAGCAGACATTGCAGTCACCATGTTCATCTGTTCATCAACTTCCTAGCTGCCAAAAGATTTTTCATTAACTTCATGGTTGCTTCTTATTGTATAGCACCCCACTCCTGTGTTTTGTACAGTTGTGACTTCAACTCCGATTCACTGCCCACTGTGAGATATATATAAGGGCTTCCATGAACCCCACCAGAGTCCCAGAGTTGACAAATGCAGTGTTTGCCAAGATGGAAAACATTCCACACCATGTATTCTTGAAGCCCACAGTCACATGTATTTAGTATTTCACTCGCATTGTTCAGAAGTATAATTAAACTATCAACGTTCCTCTCATAAGGTAAATTATTTGTGTAACAGTTCACTGCATTGGCATAGGTTAGGTGAGGCACATCTGTAGATGGAGAGAAGGGAGAAATTCACAAAAAGTGTATAATTTTAGATGAGTTTTTATTTTTGTATATATACCAAGGAGGAGCTGAGCGGTGTGCTAAAAATAAGGAAGAAGTCTCTTCGTAGGGAAGTACGTTTTCATTACAGGAGTTGTCATTTGTATACAGTTGTAAATCATCTGAGACCAAGATTTAGATGGGATTGTAATATTAAAATGATTTGTTTAAAAATATGTTGTGATAATTTTAGACAACTTAGAATAGGGTTCAGAGACAGGCTTATATGATATTGATGCTCTTTGTGGCAGGTTCAGACAAATCAGGACTGGTGCATAACACAAGAGAGTCAGCTCCTAAATTATTGCAGGACATTTTCAACTCTTCCAAGTTCCAGGAACTGATGAAAGCTACCTCAAAACACACCGAACTTCTTGAGGCTAATGAGATGCTGGCCCAGGACCAGTACTTCGAAAAACTAGAGAAGAAAGAACAGTTGGAACTAAAGATGATGGAAACATACAAAGTTCCTTGCAAGGCAGTACAGTGTAAAAAGGTAAGACTGTAACATGAGGAATTTCTGTTTTACTGGCTGCTATCTCATGAACCTCTCAACGCTTCAGCTTTGATAGTTCTTGAAGAATTTTATATAATAGCATTTTATTAATCTTGTCAGTATATTGCACTCCTTTCTAAAGAGTTCTGACGATGGCATATAACACTCAGAATTACCGGGTTTTTGGTCGTTTTCCATCATCTGGTATTTTAGAAAATAGAACACACAATGTTTCGGACACTGGAACTGTTTCCGTCCTCAGGTTTGTTCAGGAAGACACCTACTCAGTTGGATCCCTTAGAAGAACCAAACCTAAATCACTAGACTTTTTTTAAGGGGAACCAATAGAACTCACTATAGGCCTCAGAGCAATGTCCTGTTTGTGGATATTGGGAAGACCATGTAGATGCCGAGGTTTGCTGTGGTACGGAGTTGATTTTTGTTTTAGATCGATAGGGAGAGTAGTTTTGTGCTTGAAAAAGGAGTTTTTGTATTTTCCTCTCAGCTTTAGCTGCAGGATATTTTGCCAAGGGTTCATAAACCTCGGACTCCAGTTGAGTGTTCAACTTTTCCGTGTATTTGGACTCATCAAACACCACTATGCAGTTGCCCTTGTCCGCCTGAAGAATCCTAATATCCTTGTTGAGCCTCAAAGATTTTATGGCTTTTAACTCCTTTGTGGTCATATTAGGTCTGTAAGGCTTAGACTTCTCCAACATGGACCTGATTTTCCACCTGAATTCCATGCCCAGGGTCTGTGGAAGCTTGGAAACAACATATTCCACTGCAAATGCCATATCCAGGTTGAAGTGTGGATGAGTTATGAAAAATTCAAACCTTTCTTGAGGACTGCTTTGTCCAAGTCTGTGAGAATGTGTTTGGAAAGACGGAGAACAAATTTGTTGGAGGCCAATGCTGTTGATTATTGTGAACAGAAAATTTATGAATATGAGCCTGCTCTTGCTTGTTAAAGATTTACCTAAATGAGCTTTTGGCAGCTGTGAAGATACGCTGTTGGTCAGAATTAATCAGAGATGATTTGAAAAAATTCTCAAGTTTTTGGATTTTCTGGAGTTTTGAAGCCTTGTTGCGCCAGTGGAAGTAAATTCTGTCCCTGAGAAGTGCCTGGCTGTCACGTTGGACAATTTTGGAAGTTTGTTGACTATTGAAGGGAGTCGTTATGGAGAAGCCTTTGCGGATGATGTCCTGAGATTTGCATCTCATGAGGAAAGTTATATGATTGAGGGGTTTGGCTAACAGTGATTGAGGTTAGCTGTGTCTAAGGGTTTCAACTGAGTAGGTGTCTCCCCCCCCCTTCACTTGAGGACAGAAACAAATCCAGTTTCTGAAACGTTGTGTTTCCTGTTTTCTAGAATACCGGATGATGGAAAAAGTAAAAAAACCCAGTAATTTTGAGTGCACATCTTAGTTTGTTTTTCTTTACTTTATTTATATACTTGTTTAAGAAATTAATTTCGTTTGCAGAATGTATGCCTGAAATGACGAATAGTTTTAAGGTACAGGTATCTAATATACATGAAGTAGCAGTCAACAGACCTGCTTAATGCTTTTGCATGCAGTAGTGTAGTTGGTTGAGGCACTATGCTACAAGCTTGAAGGTTGTGGGTTCGAGTCCTGATGAGGTGGATTTTTTTTTCTTGTTTACCTAATCCTTCCAGCTGCACTATGGTCAACTCAGCCTCTAACAGAAAGGAGTACCAGGAATATTATTGGGGGGTGAAGGTCAGCCAGCACATAAGGTTGACAGTCTCACTGCTATCTGTGAATCGATAGTCTAGAGAAAATGTGTGAGCCTCAACGTCTCAGAACCCTATGGGCCTCCAGTGCCTGTTACAGGGTTAGCTTTACCTTTTTACCTCCAAAACACTAGTACCAACCTACCAGTCTACATGATACCATAACGCAGAAAACTGTAAGAATCCTCAGAGCCATGAGAACTAAAATCTTCTGGAAATAGGAACTGTTTTATGTTAAACTGTCAGTAAGCCCTGAGTTACTTGCCATATTTCTGCAAGCTTATCCTTATAATTTTTGTTTCCAGTGCAAGTACACAGCCTTTGGTCCTTCAGAGTTGTGTAAGTCTGACTCACACGCTCTCAGGGTTGTGAATACATTCAAGAGATTCTTCAAATGTCAGCATTGCAGTAACAGAACCATTACACTTGATATATTCCCCCTTGAAGTGTGCAGAAATTGTGGCATGTCACGGTGGGAAAGAGCTCCAATGTTAAAGGTAAATAGCATGTTGATTAAGTTGTATTTCATATCATTAATACACTTTATGATTGTCTCACATCTTATGAATTTATTACTGTCTTCTTACCTGGCAGTAATTGGAACTTATTTGTATATCTCTCACTTTCCTTGTAAGTAGCTTTCCCCTAATGTGTCCCCCTAGTACCAAGTATTATCCATTAGCCACCAGGAGCCTCTTTCATATCTCAGACTTGGTTAATTATTATCAATAGTGGAGAACCAAGAGATTGCACTCTGAAAAGTGCAGTCACCAATTTTGGTGTTAGAAGAGAGGATACAATTAATTTTGCCAGCAAATATACATTTGAATTATTTTCTTTAATAATTAATATATATTCTTTTTTGCATGCTCTTGGTGTGTATATAAATAATGCTGTCACATATAAGGATTGTGACTATTAGCATGGGCTGCACTGAAAATACCATTCCTTTGTTGCTGTATCCATTGTTGTGTGCTCAGCCACCAGTGCGAGTGGGGCAGAAAACACCGCTTTCCAGCCAGTCCATTGGCACATGTTAAGAAGCTGTTGCCTAGCAACAGGCATTGTTTACAGACCTCTCCCCCTCCCAAGAAAGACAGAGCTGTGTGTTGGAACAATTATATGACTTTATAATACATGTTTTGTTTCTTCCAGGACACAAAACGAAACATTCTTGTGGAATCTCTATCTTTGAGAGGTGATGAAGAAATGTTCCTGGGTTCAGTTGCACAGCAAGCTAAACTTAATTTGATAGTTCCAGATTAAGTTAACAGAAAGTAGTACGTAATATATTGTAATATTTCTTGGAGGTCTGATGAGTTATATCTAATCCTCTGGTTTAAATTTTAGTCATTGCTGATACCTGAATTAACTCGTGAAAGCTGTATGCTGGAATCAAGAAGTTTTGCCTCTTTCCTTGTGTTCAGAATTTTATAATTCTGACATCTGGGCTAGGTTCATTTTATATCTCTGCTTCTTGTTTGAATGTTAAATGTTAATTTTTTATAATAACATTATGAAGTTTAATTGTTCCTCAAAAAGTAGATAGCAGCTCAGTTTACTGATGGTGGCACTCGGTGCGTAAGTATTGTATGATATTCATATGAACACAGTTGAATAGACCTGGACATCATTAATAGATGTTGACGTGAGACTTTTAATATGGTTCTACTTGTCAGTGTTGTTGGAATGGATGCAATTTTACCAGTCAATTTAAAGACTGTTTTGAGGGATTTTTATAATTATAGCTGTTCAGAATTATGCAGGCGTTTATATTTTATGTTTTTAATGTTATACCATACGTAAGAAATTTGAAACTTTTCAGTATTACAAAACACATCTTTATCATTGGCAACAGCTGGAATGAACCTTGTGACACTGAGAGGGGCATGGTGTAAGGAATCATCTATTTTGCATTGCAAATACAACAGCCGGTACCCATATCCCACTAAAACCTTGCATCTAGAATTGCTCTTCTCAGAAATACAATTTCAGTGCGGTGAATGTGACATTCCATTAAACTATTTTGAAAACTGAACCTCTCAGTGCCAGTTTCCATGTAATGCAGTATAATTTTTTTAGCATGTGAAAGTGTGAAAACAAGATTGGAAAGTGTACTGGAGTGTACACACTGTCCACATCTCGGCATGTCCTTGCTTAAAAGCCAAGGATGTGATGTTTGGTGTTAGCTGTACCTCATGACATGCTGTTTGACAGCCATATTTATTAGCACTAACCACCATTTGGTCCTGACACAGCTTTGCTGTAAGGGTTGTTGGCCCTGAAGGGTGGTGATAATGTCTTGCAGTTGGAGACTCAGACTCTAACAGATATGAGCACCAGGAATTAATTAAATAATTATCCTGGGGAGTAAAGCGCGGCCGGCGCATAAGGCTGACAACCTTACTGCCATCTTTGAGCTGATTGTCTAGATAATGTGGGACCCTCAACGTCTCACAACCCTATGGGCCTTCATGGTCTGTTACAAGGATAGCTTTACTTACTTACTTACTTACTTACTTACTTACTTACTTACTTATTATGTGAATGGACCAAGTAGAATACAATTCCAACCTGGTCTGTTTAAATCAGAGAATTACAGAGAAGTTTATGTTTTTTGGAGTCTTTGTTTTGAACGTCTAAAGACACAACCCTCCATCAAGAAGCTTACTTGAAGCACTGGGGTATTAACTTACTAAAAGCAGGATGGGCATGCAGTTTGTATGCTTGTCCTTTTTATTTATAATTTCCCATTTAGAATTCCACGTGCTGCTTTTCTTTACCTGACTTTGCTGACACTTCATGGAATTGAGCCCTTCTTGAGAATCCGACAGTCATGCAGATGCTCAAGAACTTCCCAACATTTCATGGAACCTGAAATTTCACTCTCATGTTCACAAGAGCCCTCCACTAGTCCCTATCCCAAGCCAGATCAATCCAGTCCACACCATGCCATACTCTTTCCATAGGATCCATTTTAATATTGTAGCATGTAGACCCTTTGCTAAGTAATGACTCTGTAAACAACGCCAATTGATAGGTAAGAGATTCATAACACACCAATGGATTAACTGGGAAAAGGTGTTCAACACGGTTTGTGCGACAGCCATGTGACACAACAATAGAACTGTTGGAAGCGGTATTTTCTATGTGGTTCGTGCTGAGGTTTTATAAGCAGGACAAGTCTAGAGTTTAGTTAGTTGGGAGATAGTCATCAGCAAATAGGGAGCATGAATAGGAAGCTATGACGTTGGGAGCCATTACCAGGTAATGATTGGTTAAGACAGCAGACCGAAAAGACTTAATGCATGCTATAGTGAATTGTAAAGTGTGTGAATTAGTGATAGCTTTATATTTACATGTAGTTAAGTTCTGTAAGAGTTCAATAAAGCCAATTACCAATCCCAACCCCATCTGTAGTCACATGTGCCAGTTGGTATCAGTGGTTGGATTGGAGGCTGCAACCACCATACTGTGGAGATGGATCAAATGATGGCACAGCAGCTGGCTGAAATGAAGGCCAACTAAGTCAAGATGGACATCAGTCTGAAGGAAATGAGAGCTGGCCAAGGTGGAAACTGACCAAGAAAGGATGGATGCCAAGATAGACGCCAAAGAAGAAGAGCTGAAAGCCAGGATGTACACCAGTAATTAGAGATTTAAGGTTTTTGGAGATACTCTTGTCTCCTGCTTGGAAATCCACTAAGTCAGGATGGAAGCTGTTCAAGCAGAAATGAAAACCAAGATGGACATGCATCAACAGAAGATGGAGACTGCAATACACTCCATCCGGTCCGAGTTAGAGGAAACCATCAAACATCGTGTGGAAGACGTCCCTCAATACGCGGGCGAAGAGCCTCCAGGAAACCCTAGCAGACAGGAAGAACGACCTCCATGAAAAGGCACTGATGGCTGGAAGCGAAAATTGAGGCCACTCGACGCGAGTTACAGACACAGTTGAAAAAGTCGAGGCAGCGGCTGAGCGCAAATGAGAAAGAAGAACCGGCGCTGCGAAGCTGGCCAAGTTCGATGGGCTACATCATGGGCTGTGTTCCGAAACCGTAGCAAAGCACAGCTGCTGCACGCGCCAGAAGAAATCCACATACTTGATCACAGCCTTGCAAGGCCGGGCTGCCGACGTGCTACAACGAGTCCCGAAAGGCATGACCTATGAGGAAACCCTGGAGAACCGTTTCGGAGACTAGCACCTTGTCTCCGTGTATCGCAGTCAGCTGAAAACAAGGACCAAGATGGTCGGGGAATCCCTGCAAGGCTCTGCCACTGCCAATGAACAGCATGCCCATCGCACGTACCCTGCACTACGAGAGAACCACATAAGGCGTTTGCAGACGGGGTAGAAGACGCCGACGTGAAAATCCAACTGCTGCCAGGAGAAGAGAACACAGCAAACTAGGCTCTCAGATCCTCAACGAGCACCAGGACATGCCCCCCACCCGGCGAAGAGCCTCAAGACGATCGGCGTGCTGGAGCTGTGGAGAGCCAGGCCACTTGCAGGGTAGTTGCCCTAATGGAAGGGAGGCAGAAAACGATCAGCGCGGGAAATGTGACGAAAGACACACGGGAACCGCCAGGAGAGCCAGAATGTTGACCGGGTAACAACAGAGGCGGACAGGATGGAAGGCCAACCGTCGGGAAACAAGCGGGGGCCGGCATACACTATAAGGGGCGTCCACCACGCGCTGGCTGTCATTACGGGACAAGCCGACAGGACTGGGTCGATGATAAACCGCGTCGAGTGCTCTTCCGAGTACAGGACGGACAGGAGTGAGTGAATAGCCTGCTACAATAAGACGCTGAGCAAGGCCGAGAGAAATTACTGCACCACCGGACGGGAAAGACTTGCAATTCTGAGGGCACTGGAACATTTCCATCAGTACCTCCAACGACAAGATTTCCAGCTGCGCAGACGCAGCAGCGCCACGAAGCGGAGGCGAAACGTCAAGCAGGTACGAGCTTCTGGCTTCTGCTAATTCAGATTACCGCAACAAGCACAGAAACAGTCTTAATGAGAAGACGGTTTTCATATTGGTTAGAAGTGATTGCTCGAGGGGGAGTTCACGGTTCCGCTCCGCAAATGTTACAGTCCCTTGGTCGACATGTTGAGTCATATTCGAAGAGTTGAGTGGATGCCACGCCAGTGAAATATGAGAATACCATATCGCATTGTCAAAAGAAATGCGAGAATATTGTGTGTTATGTTTCACCCGCGTACTGAAGAACGCTGTCAGATGTTGCTGCATGGTGTGAGGCGCAATTCATGCCCTTGGCTCCGAGATTGCCGTGTGACGGAGATATTCCCCGTGTCAATGTTATTAAAAATGTCGTTGCTTAGCGACTGACCCTGTGACCACAAGTTTTTCCATCTCCACTCGTAAACCCACTGAAGAAAACTGCTAAACTTTCGAAAGTATTTCACCAGAACATCTTTTACTTTTTAATCAAAGAGTTTTGCTTGGCAGTACGCGAAAAGCTATATTGTTTTCATCGCAGTCTGCAATATCCTGTATGTTGTGCCAAATGCTTGATACACATATAAGCTAAATTGCATAGAACTTAGGAACCAAGCGAAGTCATGCCATAGCTGAGGCGGCTGCCGGTTTCCCACCACAGCGGCCCAGGTTCGAGCCCAGGTCAGGTCATGTGGGATTTGTGGTGGACAGAGTGGCACTGGGGCAGGTTTTCTGCGAGTACTTGTTTCCCCTGCCATTTCTCATTTTACCGACTCGTGTATCATCCGCGGCTGGTACAATGGGCCAATTAGTGGCCGACATACCAAGTGGACTCAGTCTCACCCCACCCCAAACACAACCAAATTAGGGGCCAAGAGTCACAGGGACCTCAATACTGAGAATTCACCTGCGTAAGAGCAAAACATTATCGAACCCTGGAAAATAAACGTCTGATCGCATCTTGTCAGATTGAAATAATGAAAACAACGGACACAGGAAGAGGGGGCATCGCTCCTTTTGACGCAGCTCTGCGTTGCTAAGCAACGAATCTGCCTAAGTTATAGCTTATTTAGCTTACAGGCTTATGTAAATTCGGTAGTAGGTCAGGCGCATGCCTCAAATGGTAGGTCAATTCAAACCGATTTTTTCTTGCTTCCGTTTCCGCCGTAGATAGTTTATGCATCATTATACTGGGTGCGTATAATTTTTACACAAGATTCACGGTAGATATGGCGAACAGCTTGTTATGAAATGTTACACAAGGCTTCAGACTTGACAGTTTTTCTTTTTTGGGAACAACAGAAGTTCCTCTTAGGAAAAGCACTCAGAAATTGTGAATGTTGCTTTTCTGTGCATGGGTTTGAGTCGAAGTAAAATTCTTTCCCTCATAAGAAACTCATCGGGGCTGTGAGCAAAATGAATATGTTTTCGTGGTAAAGAAACGTGCTCTGCAGGTACTGCTGTACTTCACTACATTATAAAGAAAGGGAAGTCTACCAGAGGTCATGAAAATGAACAGATGCTGATGCAACTGCCTGTCCAGTAATGCCAACACGAAAAAAAACTTCGTTGAACGTCAAAAATAATTACGTATTGTGATATGACGCCTGAAAGCTGGAACAGTCCATTGCTATAAAACTGACAACGAATAAGCACGCAATAATAGACGAACTGTTCGCCTCGAGTTATAAAGAGGGGACACGTATTTGATGACGAAAGAGGGTGATTCCGTGTGGAGGCGGGGTCAAATACCTCCACCGTGACCCTGCGGGTGGTAGGAGACGACGAAAAGGTAAATATCAAATCTGAGACAGTAAAATATGGCCACGAGTCCCACTGGATTCGAGCCCAAAAACGACTGCGTTGGCTAGAACCAGCAGCTATTGTAAACGACAGAACCGTCCTCTCGTCAGAGAGCGTCCCACATGAACAGACCCACAACTGTCTGACAGTAATAAAAATGTTGTCGTAAGCCCCGGATGGGTGCTTTATGCCAAGACAGACTGGCCCACTAATAGTCTCAGACTCAGATCGTGAAAGAGCTCCGAATTTATCAGAGGAGGACAAACTAGTGACCGTCACAATGATGGTACTAGACTTAATGCAACGAAATGGCTTCTAGAGTTCATAGCATTTGATGCAGATGGTTGCACAACTTACATATACATGCGACTCTGCTTTCTGACAATCATCTGAGAGGTCACATATAGTTGCATTTGGTGCAAAATGGAGAATCTCAATAACATGTTCTAAGGCCAAGCATATTCAGAAGAGACAAACCCATCTTCTCATCAGAGAGGACGCCACATAAGGACTATGACCGCAAGTGTTCAGTTAAAAAGAAATCTGGCCGTGAGTCTCAAGGGGCTTGTCGCCAAGACGAACTGATTTGCAGTAAATCTGACTCCGA